AAAACTTGCCTCTGCAAATATTGAATTTTTACATTAGTCAAATATTCAATCAAAAGTTCAGAATATGTCTGTGAAGGTTCTCCGTCGTCCAGCTCATCGTAGTCTAAGGAGCTTGGAAAGAAAAGCGTCTGGACTTCTTTAAGTTGAAGACGTTTCACCTTCATCCCAGAAGCTTCTGAACTGAAGCAGCTTGTTCGAATTGTAACTCGACCGTTCTTAAGTAGCCTTTTGTCTCCACATTCATGCAGCACTGTTGATAAACAGACTTCTATAACTTTACTAGTCAGATAAAATAAATCTATTCCAGTTGCATTAACAGCAGTAACCAGCGGTTACCACGAGTCCAGCTTTAGAAAGTTGAGATATTTACAACCATTAAATTGGTCGAGAAGGCCGACGTGAAGCTCGAGCCCCTCCCAGAGTAGAAAAAGGTAACATGAGTATGAGGTGATAAAAGTTGACTGTTAGTGTTCACCTTGTGAGAACACTGCTGAGCATGAGCTGCGAGGCTCACGAGCAGCTGCAGGACGTAGATTTCCACTGCAGCATCTGAAGTAGGTGTTACTCCAACTAGTCGTATATACAAGCTGCCTTCTTCCTAATTTACTTTTTAAATTTAGTTTTGTAAAATAAACGTTTCAAAGATGAAGAGCATAACTAATGACAGAGAATCAGACTGTATTTGGGATTATTTTGAATCCCACTTGCAGCTGACTGAGCAGAGCAGACATGTTTCAGGCTCTGTCCAGTGAAGCGGCTGCTAACAGGTAGCACTGTGCTGTTTCAGGCCTGATTTCCCAAGAATACTAAAAGGCTGCTTGGTGGCAGCCTAAGTAACGACTCTCCTTCAGGCTTTATTTGATGTGTTCGCTCTGCTTCACTAACGGCTTCTTTTCATATGAAGCGACGTCTATAAGCAGACACTCCCTGTGCTGTGGGTGTGTGACAGCAGTAGTCCTTGATTAGCTACTTCAAAGAATGAATCCATTTATTAATTATTAACTTACTTCTGTTAAAAGCATCACGTTTGTTCACCATAAATCCATAAGCAGTGAATGGAGTACAGTGTGAGTATGAAACGCTGGCCTCCAGCAGCAATACTCCAAAGTCACAGTTCCTGTGCACACTGTGAAGGTGTTAACGTGGTTTATTACTCATTTGCATTTAAATCAGAGCTGAACACACCACGACGGCAAGTTAAACTCTATGTTAATTTCTGTGTCCCCGATGATGGTAATTTTGCACAACAAATATCTCCAAGGCCGCTCTGAAAGAAGCTAAAGTTTAGAGCAATTCTTTAACTCGTCAACATTTTGATTTAAAAGCAGCTGGAGGGGGTTAGCAATTTACAACCAGTCAGAGAGGATGTGGTTTTGATGCTTAATGTTTTTGTGTTGCTGTATGATCAAGGCTGCGACTTTGTAATGGTGACCTCCAACGACAGCGCTAGCCGACTGTTATGTCAGCCTCGAGTCATCTAAGTATGTAATTTTAGATGTACATCTTCCACCGATTGTAGATTATTATCAGAAGAATGTGATTCTATGTTATGTATTGTTGATTGCATTTCAGAAAGAAAGATGTCGTCTGAAGGGTGTCATCAAAAGATGGAATTGCTGCAATCCGCTCTCACCGGGATGCCATTAATAAATGCTTCTTTCATGGCTCCTGTTTTCTATTTCCTTCACTTTAGGGGCTTTTCTTCCTTCAGGTGACATCAAGAAGCGTGCATAAGAGGCATCTGTGCCACTGCCATGGCTCATTCATGCTTTACTTAATTCATATATATATACGTATATGTATGAATATATATAATGCTAATAAAGTATAATGCTGCATTTCAACAGAGAAGCACACACTGCTGTAGCAATGATTATAACGGAGGGTGAAAATATTAACAGGTAAAATGAATTTTAGTTATTCCTGCTGCAGTAGTGCTGCCATGTTGCTCTGCAGCTCTGTGAGTGTCCGAGTTCATGTTTATGTTCATTAGATGTTGGTGGTCCACAGTCGACTGTTACCAGGACAGTTTAGCAGCTAGGACATGCAGCACATTAGAAGATATTGTTTTAATAGAAGTATCAGTACTTTGGTGACAACAAGCAAAATATGATTTGAGCTCAACTTTGTTTCCTGTAAAATGAATTTGCCACAGATGATGTGAAACGATGAAGACGTGAAAACAGTGCAAATGTTCAAAGCATCAGCTGTTGCATTAATGGGCATGTTTATGTTCATGAAGGTCCCTCTGTGGAGCTTGGTGATCCTTGAAAATGTGTTCTTGAGTTGGTTCGATGTTGTGAGTTTTTCTTAACTAAGAGAAGAATTCTGCTCTAGTCTATTTGAGCTGCCTCCTGTGGTCTCGGACGTTTCGCTGTTGCTGAGTTTGGCACTGCGATCTGTGTTCGAGCCCAGCGATGGCCTACTGTCCTCACACTGAAGCCTCCATTGACAATTCCAGTTAAAAAGCCATGAAACAGCTTGTCAGTCAGTCCAGTTACTCTTGAGAAAACGTGAAACGATGTATTCAGATGGCTGTATTTCCTAAATATTTAATGCAATACTTTTGTATTGCAAATACAAAAGTATTTTGTATTTAATTAATGTTAAAAGTCCACTTTGCTGGTGTGCAAGGGCACGATTACCAAAGAAATGTACTTCTGTCCAAACACTTCTGGGCTTGACTGCAGGTGTGTTGAACTTCAGTTGGCGTCTTTACAGGTTTGTGTTTGTGAGAAAACCATGTTGGTAGATGTTTGCACACTTTGGTGTCAGAGTCATTTTATTCATTTGGTCAAATAAACCATGAATGCTGCTTCATAACACAAAAGCATCTTATTCTGACAGTACATCACACTTCCTCTGTCTGCCTGCATGCTACAGCTGGACAGGCAGAACCGCTCTCTGAAGAGGAAGAGTATGATGTTGCTGTCTCACATCAGCCCTGAGACCATCGCTGATATCGACCTTAGTGATGAAGCAGAAGAGAGCGAGGACCTGCATGCATCGAGCCACGACTGCCTCCCTCCTCAGTGCTGCACCTCCAGCTCAGGTACCTGCTCCTCGTGCCGTAGAGAGTAAAGCCTGCACTGTGCTGACAGACCTCACCTACAGCATTCATTCACCAAAGAGTAACACAAGAATGTGTTCACTGGCCACAAGGAGAGCTGTGAAAGCATGTGTGCATTGGTACATTTACTGTGATAAGTTACTGCATTTCTGCTTGGTTACACATGAAGAAGACGAAGGGTTAGACCAGGGGTCCCCTATCCCAGTCCACGAGGGCCGGTGTCCCTGCAGGTTTTAGATCTCACCCTGGGTCAACTCACCTGAATCACATGATTAGCTCATTGCCAGGCCTCTGGAGAACTTCAGGACATGTCGAGAAGGTAATTTATCCATTTAAATCAGCTGTGATGGATCAAGGACACATCTAAAACCTGCAGGGACACCGGCCCTCGTGGACTGGGATTGGGGACCCTTGGTTTAGAAGATGGATGAAGGGAATGAACCACTGAGGTGAAATCTAGTTTGGAAATGGATCCATGAGCTTTGTGTTTGACGCTTCATGTTACAAGGACTTTACTCAAAGTCTTCACATGGCACATGGTTTCTCACATATTTGAATGAGTGGAAATCCAATTACCTGGATTGTAGAGGCCTGTAATGGTTCGGTCGGTGTGTTTATGGAGCGGACCCAAAAGCAGACACGGGAGTAACGAAGAGAGAGACGTTTTATCGGACTGAATACCAACAAACAAAAACACAAAGCGAGAGAACTAAAAGCTAAACTGGGAAAACTAAACAAACTCTGTAAACTGTGGCAGGAGACATGAAACACGTAGACGGGAATAACCCTGAGCAGGAACAGTTGTAACAAAACACTCAGACGACCTGACACTGAGGACTTAAACACAGGAGGGGAAGTAGAAACACCGCTGACACAAATGAAGCATGACGCCACAGGGGAAACAAAACTAAACACACTGAGCAGAGGAACAGTGGACCTTTCAAAATAAAACAGGAAACATGTAGATGCAGACATGACGAAGCGACAAACATCAACCAGACTAAAACTCAACTAAGACAAACTAATATGCCAGAATTTTTCTCATTAATCAGAAATATGAAAGAACTGAACTACATCCTTTACAAGAATAAAACATGATTCTAACATAAGAAGTCAAGAAGAGAAAAAATAAGCTCAAGATGCTGGGTCTCAGACCCCGACGGGTCAAGCCAGCCCCATTGCCACGTCCATCACAGTGTGAAATTTAGCTTCACCAAAAATTCAATTTACAGATGACATTAAGAGTATACCGTCTACACCAGGGGTCCCCAATCCCAGTCCACGAGGGCCGGTGTCCTGCAGGTTTGAGATGTGTCCTTGATCCATCACAGCTGATTTAAATGGCTAAATTAGCTCCTCAACATGTCCTGAGGTTCTCCAGAGGCCTGGCAATGAGCTAATCATGTGATTCAGGTGTGCTGACCCAGGGTGAGATCTAAAACCTGCAGGGACACCGGCCCTCGTGGTCTGGGATTGGGGACCCCTGGTCTACACCCTTAAAGTCAAAAATATTAGGTGTGTTGCCGCGTGTGCATAAAATAATTGGCAGATGTCCTGAGAGTTCTCAGCTGTCTGAAGTTCAGCAGATGTATTTTCTCCTCCAGCTGCCTCTGGCTCACGTCATGGTCAGTTCCTTCAGTCAAACAGTAATTATACCTCCGGTGATAATGGATTTATACTCGATGATGCTTTTCATGTCGTTGGCATTAAAAGGGACAGATAATCATGTCATTTGCAAATAATATGCTGTGATACAGGCAATACTGAAATAAGTTGACTTTTGCAAAGATTGTGGGCTTATTATCTTGAAAATTCATAATTGCATGTTAATGGACAGCTAGTCAAAGCAGCTCCTGTGATGAAACACCAGAGATTTGGCTGCAGACTTCTGTAGATCCCAGCCAAACAAACGAGTTCTCGTAGGTTCTGAGCTACATCACACAGATTGTGTTCATCTGTTCAAATCATTTTCAGTATTTCGCTTGAAAATTTCATGACACGAAATCCTCGTTCTGCTCACCAGAAGGCAATCCATCTGTACCTGAAACAGCTTTGGTGTCAGCGACCTTCTTCTGCTTAAGTACCCTGTTTAAATGTCTCAGACTGTTCCTGCTGTGAGCTGTTTGTATTAACACGTCTTTATTTCAGGATTTATTCCATTCGTCACATTTTTGGACACGTACAGTTCTTAACCAACATATTGGCACAGCACAGGTTTAAGCCACAGCTGCACTAAATTAAACTAAAAGAGTATTTTTTATGTCTTTTTAATGGTTAAACTCACCACTAAAGCTCAACATGATCATTTTAATGCTGAAATATAGTGTTTTTATGTTGTCCATGAAATTTAAGATTTGTTGTTTTACAAAAAGTGGAAAAAATAAGATAGCATATATATATATATATATATATATATATATTACGGGTGCAACAATACACAAAATTACAAAATTCACGGTTCGGTTCGATATTTTTTCGATACAAAAAAACTGTTCATGCCTTTTT